GAGAAGTGTTTTATTAATATAACTACCTAGATTTCTTGAAAGTAGATAGGCCCCCTACATCTAGTTACAATAATAAGACACATATTATCATGAACATATCTATACACGTGACTTATACGTGTATTACATGAATAGGTATATTCGTGGTATTATTTCCGCTTTGCTGGCACTCGTTACGACTGGTTAAGCCTTCCGCGACCTATTGACGCGCGCTACCTTGGGGGATGCATCGTACCTAGTAAGTGGGAAACGTCAAAACAGCGACGGCGTCCTGTGTACAGTGTGTGCAGCGCTGCGCATTCCTAGCCATGGCCCGCTATTATTGCGACAGGTAGCACGGATGACGTCCGCCACAGGTGACAAAATCGCCGAGTCACGCAAGAAAGATCTAGAGGCATGTCATTAGCATTCCGAATTGCGTTAATAGTATAGACAGGAACCCACGATTGGTTAAAATGTACATAATTTTTGCACGATTAATATTTGTTTGCGAGGGGAGGCATTGGTCTTCCTAGTAGGCCTAGTTCCTACACGCCCAGCGCCTCTCGGTGCAAACATGCAGCTATTATTTATTGCTTTATTAGTCCATACTCGCGAAGGGGAAAACCGTATATGAACGAAGATAAACGGTGGTGAGGAACAAATGTAAAATTGATGTTTCAAGACTTCAGTGCTGTCGCCGCTTAACGCATGATCACGTCGTTTTACCAGACGGATATTATACGTTAACCAAACGGCAAGCGTAACAGCCAATCAGCTCCCTGCTAATTTACGACAATCAACTTTATTAGTCGAATGCGGGGTTTAATAACAGCGTTTATCGTGATATCATATATAGTTAACATGATTTTTTAAAGTTATTTTCAACTATGAACGTATTATTCAGTATTTTAAAAATTATTGTCACGGCGTTTCAAAGTATTGTTAATTAATGTCACACGCGACCGTAGAGCCCGCGCTACCCAATCAAAGCACATGCGAAATACTTGGCGAAACAGGAATATTTTTAATACGTATAACGCCTCCATTCTCAGTAGCAGGTTTGCTACACAGAACGCTAGTGGCATGCACGCTGTCATTGGACATAATTACCTCGTAGTCATCATTAGTAAAGAGAAGCACTTCTTACCGCGTTATTTCTTTCGTGTTAGAAAATTGCCGTGAAGTGCGAAAACACTCCTACTGTTGGACAGTATGTAGCGGGTTGTGCGGGCTGTATATCCTGTTCGCTGGCGTAGAATCACACTCGAGTGGCCCACGGTGGCGAAATGAATAGCGTTGCACTGAGTTACGGTAGTGGATGTGTGGAATTCTTTCTCGCCTACACGCGACGCTAAACAGTAATGACGAATTCTTACAAAAGAATAATTCGTCGAGTGTTGTTACAACATCCGGTGGTAGCCGCTCGTGTTGGCAAGTCCACGAGCCGTCTACTCGAAAAAATACTTGAAACTTAAACATTTCCACTCGATTTGCTATATACAGCACGAGAAGAACAACCGAAGTTTGCCGACACCAGTCATTTGTCATATTTCTTTCTCCTAAAATTGCCACTCTACTTTCCTTCTTCTTAACCTTCTGTTCTTGTTCTTGCTCTGTTTCAGTTGTTCTTGTTCTTGTTCTTGTTCTTGTTCTTATGTCTTGATCTTGATCTTGATCTATTTCTTGTTCATGTTCTTGTTCTTGTTCTTGTTCTTGTTCTTGTTCTTGTTCTTGTTCTTGATCTTGATCTTGATCTTGATCTATTTCATGTTCATGTTCATGTTCATGTTCTTGTTCTTGTTCTTGTTCTTGTTCTTGTTCTTGTTCTTGTTCTTGTTCTTGTTCTTGTTCATGTTCATGTTCTTGGTCTTGGTCTTGGTCTTGGTCTTGGTCTTGTTCATGTTCATGTTCATGTCATGTTCTTCGTTCTTGTTCTTGTTCTTAGTCTTGTTCTTGTTCTTGTTCATGTTTCATGTTCATGTTCATGTTCATGTTCATGTTCATGTTCATGTTCATGTTCTCATGTTCATGTTCATGTTCATGTTGCATGTTCATGTTCATGTTCATGTTCATGTTCATGTTCATGTTCATGTTTCATTTCTGGTCATGTTCTTGTTCTTGTTCTGTTCTTCTTTTCTTTTCTTCAATTTTTCTTCTCTTCGTTTCTTTTCTTTTGTTCTTCTTTTTCTTTTTCCTTTTTTTTCTTTTTCTTCTTTTTCTTTTGTTCTTGTATCTTGTGGGCTTCTCCGCGGAAAAATGTTTTCAATTAAGTCTCTACATCAAAAGTAAACCACTATGCTTCCAGATATGAAACTCTAAAAGTCTTAACGTTGGGAAGATTTCCAAAAAACCGAATCAAATACCGACGAATCTCCCGTCTCCGATATTTATCGGTGAATTTCTCCCTCGGTTATTTCTCGGATTACCAGATGCTTCCCGCCACGGCTCGCGATTAGTTTCGAGTGATCTTCATCTCGGGTGCACACCGCGTAGTAGTACCTGTTCCGGCCATGACTCAGAGTAGCAAGCGGGCTGAAGAGCTTGTTTGCCAGGAAGCTCTGTGGCAAACTAGCGACGGGCCCTTTGTTTTGTGCGACCTCGCTCAGCTTCGCCTAACATTTAAGTGCGAAGTTTTTGAAAGTGAATTGTGTGCCGACGCAGCAGCAGGGAAGACTGGTATTAAAATTAGCGTGGGTATGTGTATACAGTGCTAGTGCGTGTGACTTTGTTAGGCTTGAAGCAGCAGCTACAGACCATTATGAAATCTTAAGTATATATAACAGCATAAATATATCTAAGGATATCTAAGAAGTATCTATATTGTATGAGAAGTGTTTTATTAATATAACTACCTAGATTTCTTGAAAGTAGATAGGCCCCCTACATCTAGTTACAATAATAAGACACATATTATCATGAACATATCTATACACGTGACTTATACGTGTATTACACTGAATAGGTATATTCGTGGTATTATTTCCCTTTGCTGGCACTCGTTACGACTGGTTTAGCCTTCCGCGACCATTGACGCGTGCTACCTTGGGGGATGCATCGTACCTAGTAAGTGGGAAACGTCAAAACAGCGACGGCGTCCTGTGTACAGTGTGTGCAGCGCTGCGCATTCCTAGCCATGCCCAGCTATTATTGCGACAGGTAGCACGGATGACGTCCCCACAGGTGACAAATCGCCGAGTCACCAAGAAAGCATCTAGAGGCATGTCATTAGCATTCCCGAATTGCGTTAATAGTATAGACAGGAACCCACGATGGTTAAATGTACAATTTTTTCACGATTAATTTTGTTTGCGAGGGGAGGCATTGGTCTTCCTAGTAGGCCTAGTTCCTACACGCCCGCGCCTCTCGGTGCAAACATGCAGCTATTATTTATTGCTTTATTAGTCCATACTCGCGAGGGGAAAACGTATATGAACGAAGATAAACGGTGGTGAGGACAAATGTAAAATTAATGTTTCAAGGACTTCAGTGCTGTCGCCCTTAACCATGATCGCGTCGTTACCAAGGATATTATACGTTAACCAACACGGCAAGCGTAACAGCCAATCAGCTCCTGCTAATTTACGACAATCAACATTTATCAGTCGAATCGGGGTTTAATAACAGCGTTTATCGTGATATCTATATATATTACATGATTTTTTAAAGTTATTTTCAACTATGAACGTATTATTCAGTATTTTAAAATTATTGTCACGCGTTCAAAGTATTGTTATTAATGTCACGCGACCGTAGAGCCCGCCTACCATCAAAGCACATGCGAAATACTTGCGAAACAGGAATATTTTATGACGTATAAGCGCCTCCATTCTCAGTACAGTTTGCTACACGGAACGCTAGTGGCATGCACCTGTCATTGGGAATAATTACCCGTAGGTTATCATTAGTAAAAGAACACTTCTTACGCGTTATTTCTTTCGTGTTAGAAATTGCCGTGAAGTGCGAAAAACACTCTACTGGTTGGACAGTATGTAGCGGGTGTGCGGGCTGTATATCCTGTTCGCGGCGTAGAATCACACTCAGTGGCCCACGGTGGCGAAATGATAGCGTTGCACTGAGTTACGGTAGTGGATGTGTGGAATTCTTTCCCGCCTACACGCGACCCTAAACAGTAATGACGATTCTTACAAAAGATAATTCGCCGAGTGTTGTTACCAACATCCGGTGGTAGCCACTCGTGTTGGCAAGTCACGAGCCGCTACTCGAACAAAACTAATTGAAACTTAAACATTTCCACTCGATTTGCTATATACAGCACGAGAAGAACAACCGAAGTTTGCCGACCACCAGTCATTTGTCTATTTCTTTCTCCTAAAATTGCCACTCTACTTTCCTTCTTCTTAACCTTCTTGTTCTTGTTCTTGCTCTTGTTCATGTTCATGTTCATGTTCATGTTCATGTTCATGTCACACACACACGCACGCACACACACACACACACACACACACACACACACACACACGAACACAAGTACGCATGCACGAACGTAAGCGCGCACGCACAGACACACCGTCCCTTTATCGTTACCAAGATCGCGTTCAAAGGTCACAACGTGTTACACCACACCGGGTAAGAACATCGGCCCAGAAATCGATGTACTCGCAGAGCAGAGCCGTATATTGATATCTCTATATACGGCTCTGTCGCAGATACTACGGCAGCGACGTCTATGGGCAGCGGGAGGAACCGCTCGCGTGTGCACGCCGCGCTGACGTCACGCGTTAACCTGTTGACGTAGATAGAACTCAGGTAAGTCAAGCATTACGCTCAAACACGCAGGCTCACGGAAGCGTGGGTGCAGACAGCAGACAGCGTCGTCGCACACGCATACACACTACACAGACACACACTATATACGTACGTACATAGTCTGAGTGATAGTCAGACACACAGACACACACTGCGTACGTACATCGTATGATAGCAGAGCTGGCGTGGCTGCTTGCTGGTGTTTCCCCGTCATGCTATATGTCGTCAGTAATGCCCGATGAAACAGCAGCATGTCGGACAGCAAAGAGCTGAAGATTGTACTAGTCGGCGACAGCAGATGCGGCAAGACAGCGATGCTGAGCCGATACCTGAAGAGCGAGTTCGTAGAGGTGAGTAGTGAGCAAGTCTTACAATAAGTGTGTCGGATTTCATAGGTCTTAGGTCTTAGGCGCCTTTAGTGTGTGTGTGTGTGTGTGCGTGCGTGCGTGCGTGCGTGCGTGCGTGTGTGTGTGTGTGGTGCATGTGTGTATGTAAGCCGTGTGTGTGTATACTACTAAAGAAGGTTCTGTTTCCAGTCGTTTCTCTGGTCGTTTGCACTCGTACTTGGTGTTTCTGTACTTAGTCACACATGCATGCTTTCCAAGACAGATCGTTCGGGTGTACGCGTGCAACCACGCCGATAGATTGATTTACTGGTCTATGTCACACAGCAAGGGCTTCGTTCAGCTTGCCCCTTGGCTTGCGAAATTGTCCGATCTGATTGCGCCACTCCAACGAATTGTCCCTATTATGGTATTAACAGAAAAAAACTGTATTTGCCAAAAATTTGACGATTTTTGTCACTTATCAAGAGCTCTGGCGCACGTGTGGTGATATTATTTCAGGAAAACATGACAGATATCGAAATATGCATAATAAATAACATGCTCGCGTGCGTGCGTGCGTGCGTGCGTGCGTGCGTGCGTGCGTGCGTGCGTGCGTGCGTGCGTGTGTG